TCGGAAGAAAAATAAATCATTTGTTAAATTTTATTGTTACCATTCACAAAAACTTCTGGCAAAACATGCCAATGACCCTTTTATGCCTTTTTTTGCATTTAAAAATAGATCTTAATCCACTAGGAGAGAGCAAGAGAAACACAGAGTTTTGTTCTAGAAATTTTTACATGCATCCCCTTCAGATCCACTATACTTTATTTAGAAAGCGTTTCTTTTTTATATGATTTATCTTTGTACTACTACTACAAAGGTATATCATGATTCAGAGGTAACCACAGCTCTAGTCTGGGTTTTGAGGGCTGTGTCTGTATTTATTATGCCACGATGTAGGGACATGAACAGCGGATCGAGCTGTGCTGGTCAGGGATGGAATGGAGCTGCCAATGGCCCAAGCGTATCTGGGACAGCCCAGCAGCGCTTTGCTGAAGCACAAAGGCGGGTAGTACTTTTTTGCCTTAATGGAGGTTTTCATCCATCCCTTTCCACAGCTGTGCCCTAACTACGTGATGGCATCCAACGTGTTCTCTTTTTATCCTCCTTCTAGAGATCAGGTCACTGTCACTGCCACTGCGGGGTTGGAAGCAGACCCCATCCTAGCCACTGGTGTGTGTTATCCCTTCGCTGTCCTGCATGTGACACGGCATTGCTCCTGTGCATCTCCAGTGCAAGCCAAGCAAACATTTATTCTGAAAAGGCAGCAAACAGATAGAACATGAGGAACTTTGTCCAGTTCTTTCACAGCTGAAAAATGCATTGGTCGGCCCCGTGGTTGGGTTGATGACCTTGGAGTTTCAGTAGGCTAAAGAAGCCATTTGATACTACTGGAAAAGGCAAAAACCCACCTAGACAGATAAGCATTAGTAGCCCAGCAGTAGTTTCAGTTAGCCATGGTTTGGACAAAACTGTTCAATGTATGTGAGGTGAACCTAGTTCATTTATTTATATATATGATGACTTCAGGCAGTAGTTCTCAAGCTGTGATCTGTGGGCTCTTGGTGGTCTGTGGGCCATTATTGCTTTTACTGTGTTAATTAGTTTAAAACTGATATTAAGGGTTTGTGATGGTATACTAATTTTGAGTGCTCTGGCAGTAGGACATTCCAATAGATAGGGAGCTTTTGGGGATTAGAAGACAGCGGCTTTTCATGTATGTACAAAACCCAAAGAAATGTCCATATGTAAGCTCTAGGTTTACTGAGTTCCTATCCCAACCTGTGTTGTTGATACAGAAGCATCATGTTATGTTTGTATTTGTGGTATAGCTTGAAAATTAGGAGCCTATGCTCACCTCCTGAAGTAAATCAGAGTATTTTTTCTCCAGTGATTCAAAATCTCTCCTGGACACATTATCTCCGTAGTCTGCTATCATTGTGTTCAGCTTCACCTGGGTTTTTGTGAGGTCCTGCCGAGCTATCTTTAATGCCAAAGTTAACTTCACCACATCTTCACCCTTGACGCCTTTAAACAACAGGCATTGATGAAAGCCCATGACAGTAAAATTTCAGTTGTAGTTTTCTAAATCGTCTATTAAGCTTTTAGACCACATAACCTTACAAAGTGTCGGCAAGAGCTGAATGGGTGTAGACTGTATTATTATTAAAGAACTGCAAGTCCAGGAGTATATTGCAGTGTTCACATTCCCACCCACTGTCTTGCCTCCTCTCCCACGCACACATACATATTCAAAGGCTCAGCCTTGCTTTTGATTAACAGAAAGGATCACAGGCGGGGAGAGCCTTGCACAGATGCAATGGCTACAGCCAGCAAGTAAAAAGCAGTAGCACTATGGGTGCCTGTAACCAGACTGTGGATCAACAGAGTAACCTCTGTGCCAGGTATTTGTGGCACCTGAATTTCAGCAGTTTTGTCTGTCCTTGTGGACAGGCACAAAGCGGGCAGCTGTGGCTGGGTGAGATGTGCTGGAATCAAAAAACATAAGGAACCTTTGCATTGGGCAGCTCCCGCCTTCAATTTACCTGTTGTACTAAGCAAGAGCGTATGAGAATACAAGCAATGACTTACTGAATCAGCTCAGACTATTAGGTACATCCCTACCTCTTCCCTTTCCTACCTATTTATGGACTTTTCGGCCATGAATTTGCCTAACTTCTTTTAAGAAACAAAGCAGATCTGAAAATACTCTGAATTTTTGCTGCAATGCTGTACCCATAGATGTGCATTTGGGTCTCTGTGCAGGACAGGTTCTTACAGAGATCCTCTTTCTCTACCTTGGACTTGGTGACATGTCATGTCCAGCCGTTCATTATGCATATCATTCAGTTTTGCTAGAAGCAGTTTGCGGGCACCGTACTCATTGAGATAGCGAGCATACTCCTCAGCTACGCTTGTCTGCAGATGCTCCACCTGCGGGAAACATAGGCTTGAATTGATCAGGAGCATGGCATCAGTGGGAACTCTTGGACTGGTTTGGTGGGTCTAGAGCAGAAACTAAGGAGCAGAGAGTGGGAAAAGGGAAGGAAAATGGGAAAAACTGGAGCAGGAGCATGGGCAAGAGATAACACTGTAGAAAAGGATGGACAGAAGAGTTCGAACTCGGATGTAGTGTGCGAAAGGGTGCTCCATCTGAATGTTTAGCCTTCTAGAGAGTGAATTATATACACTTCATCATCTGAGTTACATCATTCTCTGTTGTAAGCCCATACCTGGAAAACCTTCCGGCAACTTATTTTGTCCCTGTTGCTGGTCACACAGGAGAAACAAAGCTGCCACTCTTACCAATTTACTTCACTGGAACTGGTGACAGAAATGTATCTTGGATGGCAACATGGGATTGTATTTGTGCTGTATTTTTAATTTTTTGTTGTAATTTTTAATTGCATTTTAAATTAGTGGCAAAGTAAAACTCAGAAATTTGGAAGAAGAAGAACTGGGATTACGTGTAAAACCATAGCTTATTTCCATGATGTGCATTTCATTACGTGATCACATCCTGCCACTGCCAACGCCTGCCTAATCTGCTGGATAGGGAATGAATCAAGATGGTGTTTGACTTGTTGCTCAGAAGACAACTAGTGCCTCGGGGAACTCTGACTATTCTGATTCTGTTGAGAATTCTGTTAGTCTCACAAAAATACAAGCCCTCTGTAGCAATGCTGTTTTGCCTGTGTCCCTACACCACCATAGCTACAACCATGTTGCCAGCAGCACACAAGTCAGCAGCTTATGTGAAGCTTTCCAAGGAATTTTTGAATATCTAACCATGCCACCGTTAGGATATTTGAATGCTGTCTCAAAAATGGAATTCTGATTTTAGCAGAATTATTTTTCCCAACCTCCTTCATCCAAATTGCAAAACTTAGATAACCCAAAATAGAATTTAGGTTCTGGGCTCTATTCTTAGTATAACTTGGCATAAATTCTCAGTTGCTCCTTTCAGAGAAGGTTCTTTATGGCTCTGTGAAGCACTGAGGCCTGTGAGTACCAACAAGTGGAACTGGCTAGTTCTAGGACTGCAAATGGAAGAGATATTTATGAGCATTTTGATCTAGCTAGTGAAACCAAAACCTCTAAGGTTCACCAAGCGCTAGGTAGATGAATAAGGGGCCTACATAGTCTGTCCTGAAGCTTGTACTTCTTCACCTTCACCACTTAAGCTTAGTACTTAAACTAGTGGATGAAAGCAAGCTCTGGTAGAGTTCCTCATGCTGTTATCACACCTCTGACTACAGCAGAATTGCTGTGTGACAAGGACAATTTGTTTCTTCCTCCTGCTCATTTTTCACCAGGAGGATGGTACAACCCTGGAACAGGCTGTCCAGGGAAGTGGAGGATCACCATCCTGAGAGGACCTCAAAACTCAAGCCAGACAAGCTCATGGCTGATCTGATGTAACATAAGCAATTGTTCTGCTTCACATTGGAGGCTGGGCTGGAGACTCTAGATGTTCCTTCCAATTAACACTTCTTTGATACTTCCTGAATTAGCTACAGTAGCTGTCAGGGCCCCAAAAACCTTAATTGTCCTGATCAGCCTCAGCTGGACCCTCCACCCACACACCATCTGCCTGCAGCCAAGGAGCTCTGTTTAAGCTCAGGCTGAGGCTTTTGGTCTTTGTTGAGCTATGTTGTAGGTGTATCTGCCTCCAGTCCTGTCTCTGTATCCTAACTGGACCTTGGACTGATGTTGTAGGTAGCTCTTCTCCTGGACGGACCCCTTTGGGTGTCTGTTGCAGTTTTGTCTCCTGCTGGCCCTGCCTCCTGCTGCTCCTGAGTGCTTGCTTCCCCCCCGCCACCATGGATGGACCCTGGGCTTAAATGCCTCATCTGGAACTGCTGAGGATGACTGCTGCCAGCACCTTGCTTGGTGCTGTGAGGCTGTGCCCTGGTTGGTGGGGCTCTGACGGCGTCGCAGCCACCCTCAGCTCCTGGGTCGTCCTTTCTCATGCAGCAGCCCTGCTTTTCTTGCTCTCCAACAGCAGTGTCATTTCAGCCAGAGTAGCTGAAACTGTTCAAGAACTGTATAAAGTGGTAATTTAAATTGGAAAGACTTAACTAATCTTGCCTACAGATATCAATGCGACTGCACCGGCAGTAAGATGAATGATACAGATTTAAAGATGCTAAGGGTACAGTGTTGTAAAAGAGTGCACATACTTTTACATAAGAACTTAAAACATTAGTACCAGGAAGGTATTTATTTCCTCCCCCCTTCAGATGGAAGAGCCAGATGGGACAAGAGATACAAGTGAAGACTTCTGACAGCGGCAGCACAGCCCGTCCCAAGAGAACAGGATATTCTCTGGAACTGGCCAAGATCCAGCTTCACCACCGTGCCAGATGTTCAGTGCCTGCTCCAGAACTTCTACTGGCATCAAAGGACAAGAGGCTGGGAGGTAAGAGATCAGATGTATAAAATATATCCAACTGAAGCTGGGAAACATTTGACTCATCATTGTTTAATTTACCTGAGTCTGAAGAGAATTCTTTTCTTCCTTCATGTTGTCAATGAACTTTAACAAATGTTGTTTCTCTTGCTTTAACATATTTATTTCATCTTTCTCCTTTTCCTGCAGTGCTAGTATCTGCCGGGTGCACTCCTCGGAGACAGTCGTGACCATAGCCTTCAGGGGCTCTAGGGTACGAATTGTCTTCTTCTGATGAGCTAAAGAAAGCAGAAGTGGGATCTCACAATGAGCAACTAAGTCTGAATTTTACTCAGCTGGGCTGTTGGATATCCAACCACAAAACAGGGCTGGTGGGAAGTGGGACAGAACATGGAGCCTTTACTGCTTGGCCTGGTAGTGTCTAAGGGCTGGGAGTAGTTTCTTTTGGGATTATATCCTGTTGTTTATCCAGCTGTGCATATGAACTTCATAATGATTTGATTTCAGCTCTGCTATTTATGCTGGTTTGGAAAACAAAGGATGAACAGTATTTTATTTTGTTTTCTGGAGTACTTAATGTTTTGATAAGATATAATGAGCACTGACGGCTTTGTCATGTTTCACTAGGTGGGGAGGTGTCACTATTTAAGCATAGGCAGCATATGGGGCTAAAGACAGCTGGTAATTAGCGATTCACCCTCTTTTGTGAAGGCACATTCTTCATGAACTTTGATCTGCTTTCTTGTCTCCAAATGCATGGTCTCATGCAACTTTTTATATACAAATTTGTTGTCTACCCACTCTTCCCTCTTTTTAGGTATGCCTTGACCTCTCTTCTTTTGCCTTTCTCTTCAGTACATCTAGTAAAGAACTCATGTGTTCTTCTTGGCTTTCTCTGCTGTAACGTGTGCTTTTCATTCTCAGCTATTTCCCCTTTGACCTGAAAGTTTTTCTTAAAGATATTTACCTGAGGAACCTAGTGACAGTACTTTACTTGGGTCCCACATCCTAGTTACAGTTATATGGTAGAATTTCATCTGATGCCACCTCCTTGGTGTGGAGGCTTGTTTTTATGACTAGATGGAATTCCACCAGAAGAATAAAATGATCAAAGACAGGATATGGTGTGATTCAAATGAGGCTGTGAGGAAGCCTTATTTTGTTTGTGAATAACTGCATTATTCAGCAATCAAAACAGTTTACTCCCTCTCCTGAACAGAAGGATAGGAATGCTGGTGGATGCTGAATAATCTGACTTGGAGGTTTTTTCCTCCTCAGTAAAACCTGGTATTAGTATTTATGTACAAATACTATGCAACAGATTTTTTAAAAGTTAAAACGCATACATAAATCTAAGAACAGGAACTACTTTTCTTATTACACTAGGGTGTGAATTTCCTTCCCATGCTATAACTGTACCAAAGGTTTTGCAAAACTTTTTCACTATGATACTTGTAGCAGGACAAGAGATGGTGGAAATTAGAGCATTAGCACAGGAATTCTGCCACTGTGCTGTTTGGTTGCTCAGTGTGACCACGTTAAAACTTTAGCAAACTTGTTTCGAGGCAGAGTTTCAGTGTTTCACAACTGACTCCTGACCACAAGCAAACCCCTTTAAATTAAGCGCAACAGTATTTTTAATTGTAGCTGGCCAGTATGTCAGAAGTTAGAGCACAACTTGTTGGCTGCCAAAGTGATTCTTTTGTAGCGTGGACGCTGGCCAGCGCCATCTGAGACCATTAGCTCTCTGATGACCTCTCATAACTCTCCCCATGCCAAGAAAGGACAGACATTCTCCCATTGGGAAAGAATTCAGGCTGTGGTGCCGCTCATTGCACATACAGAATTGCTGGATGGACCCAGAGGTCTTAGCACCACAAAGGAGTCAATGTGAAGGCCCTGTGGACATAGCAACCTGAGTATTATTTTGATCAAGAGATGAATTCAGCTGTGGATAACATCACCATAAAGACCTACCCTGTCACTTAGCTTTGTCTTAAAGGAGCTCCCAGCAACATAACCTTTATCTCGGATCAAGGTAACAGCCGTAGGGATTTGATGGCTCTCTTCTCCATAGTGCTATGTTCCAAATTCTGCTTAGTACCTTCACATCCATGTGGATTTACTCCAGAAACAATGCCATAAAGCCTCAGTACTGGCTCAGCACAACCTTAACACCCAAAGGACCTACAGCTGCGGTTGTATGTCCAGTTCTGGCAGAAGACACACACAGTTGCAAGCAGCTGGTATGGGCTGCACATCCCTGTTCCCATCAAAGGTGGCTGCCTTCTCTGGTCTGCATGCTCAGCTATGCATGTGCTAGCTACTTCAAATGTTGTGCTGCCAAAATGATGCAGCTGAATATACAGTGTAAGCAGTACAGTTTTAGGACAACATTTAATAATACTTTCTTTTTTTAAACCAGATTATTCTGACTGAACTGGGAATATGTTGCAGTGCTAGCAGATTTAAGAGGAGAATCCACCCCAGCAGTGGGTGCAGTGGTGAGCACCTTAAACATCATATAGGCTAAGCCAGTACAGGATGGCAGAAAAAACAGGGTAAGACACAGCTGCTAAATCAGACTAATAAGATAATATCCAGTTGGCTGAGAAATACAATGCTGTGGTGTAAAGGAGGTTTAGTTACAGTTTCAAAGGGAGGTGAAATGCTACAGATAGAGTATGCATGTTAGGTGGAGTGATGAGACCTCTCTCTAAGCAAACTGTCCCATTTATCTGCACCTTAAGACTCCAAGCACTGTAGTGAAGGACTATAAACAGAACATAAAATTCTGACGTTAGGAGCCCTCAGAATGGCCACCTCTCACAGATTTTAAAGAAGTTGTTTGTGTAAGAACAGCCAGACGTAATTTAAGAATAAAGGTAAGTGCTTAGGAGTACAGTTCTACAAATCAGTAAATTTCCTTCCTTTTCTCTTTGTTTTGTACTCTTTCTGCTCTCAGACACTTGCTTTTGTCTCTTCCCTAGCACAGATACTTCCGTGGGCAATTCAACTCGCTAAACGAACAGGAAATTTTGCAGCTCTTGGTCTTTGTTTTTCCTGCTGGGTGAGTTGACTCAGCTCATAGAGGTGTCCAGCGAGTGGCAGAGCTGGTGCAGTCTAAGCAGAGGGAGTGCACCGTCAGGATGGGGGAAGTGGGACCTTCTTGTTTCTGTGGCCATGAGTTGTTGGGTTAGATTAGATCACTGCTTCCTTGGCCAGGCAGGTAAGCTGTTGACTGTGCTAGGCAGGGAGAAGGAGGCTTGGAAATTACTTACAAATAACCCTATCCAATACCCTTAGCTAAAAGGGGATGGATGTCATGCAGGCCTCGTTAGCAAGGTAAAATCTGTCATTAGGAAAATGAGTCCTCAATATACAGAAAGATGGGCGGATCCCAATCCCAACTCCAACTTAAAAAAAAAAAAAAATTCTACTTGTTTTATTCTTAGAGCTTCAAGTACACTTGCTACCATGGCATATTAGTTCACTGGCATTCAGTTGATTTCCAAAAATAAAGCTATCATAAAAGACATGTTTTGCTGGGTATCCAGCAAAAGACAAAAAGACTTCAAAGAAAAAAAAAGGAAATATCACATCCAAACAATATGGAGAAGTCAGTAAATAAATGCTTAAAAAAACCCATTTTTTTAAAACAGTACAATATAGGCTATAGCATGGACACCAGTAATCTCTCTGGGAGCTGAAGCAAAGAAATGTCTACTAAAGAGTTCTGGAAGGAAACTGATTTTAAAAAAATGTTTTTAATTACTGATTAAAATGGACTTATTCACCTGATTGAAGTATACTGTGCAAAGAAAGATTTTTGTCTGTAATGGGGGACTATGATTAGGTAGCCCAGATAACAGGTACTGGGATAAACAATATATATCCTTTAAGAGACTATCCCAGTAGAAAACTGTTGACATTTGATAGCTGCTTGGTGCCCAGTGTGAAATGAGCTCCTCGTTACAGTCTATTTCTAGCCCTCTGTGATTATTTACAAAGTACTTGTATCACTGCGGCATCTGAATGCCAAGCAAAGTTTAAAGCACACTAAGAATGGACAGGGAACAGCCAGTCTAGTTCTCTGCCCTGCCTTGCTTCAGGAGTAATTCAAGCTTCAATTTACCAGAGCAAGTGCATCCAAATATATTAGTACGATACACTCCACTACAAATGTGATTGTCCCAGAAAAACCTTGAGACGCTGCTGTTGCCTGATTTAAAAAATCTAAAAATCTGGAATATTATAGGAAAAAACCCCTCCAACAACTTCATCTTTTGTATGAAGGAAATAGACCTAATGGACCAGAAAGATGGTTTTACCAGTTGACATCTATTTAGGCTGTTCATCCCATATATGTATCCAACACAACTAAGCTCTGTAAAAACACATCTCCATTAGTGTATTTTCCCCACAGGTCAAAGTCCATGAGCTTACCTAAAGTAACTTCATACTCATTCTTTATAGCTGACAGCAAGGGCTTATAGGTCTTGAAGTTGTCTATGAAGAATTCAAAGATCTCTCTGTAGGGCTGAGAGAAGAAAGAGAGCTTGAGAAAACATTCAGTGGCATGTTTTTCAGAATTCAGAGATAGCTGTTTTGTCCAACACAAATGGCATCTAATGACAGTGAGAATAAGTTTAAAAATATTGCTACCACATTTTATTTTGCCTCTCCATCTTTGGTCTGCCATCCCAAATATGTCATATGAAGGTGGATTTCTCTCCCCTGTTGATAGGCACCACAGCATGATGGAGAGCAAACAAACATTTTGGTGGCCAAAGAGAAGCTTTGATCAAGTCTGTCAGGGCACAGCTCCAAAATGAAAATGATGCTGTTCAGATGGAGCTGACTAGAACTCAAGTTACAATACGGATGTAACAATATGGATGTTAAAGATATGTAACAAGATCATGTTGCTGCTTTTGTTCCCTATCTTGTTAAGTTAAATGGCAAGCTCTGCAGAGCAGAGAGAGTCTCTCTGCAGGTGTTGTCTGCAGAATAAAACTTGTTCAGAGACAAAAGTCAAACTCCTGTGTTGTATCTGGGCTGTGGGAAGACTTCATTAGCAATAAGTAATGTTCTCACTGAGTGTACCTCACTATTAAATACCATTAAACATGGCATGTAAGACAGTAAAAAATATTTTCAAAGCATAAACACAGTTATGAGATTTCTATTTTCTCTTGCCATTAGTTACTCTTTGTTTCCCTCCATTCTCTTCCATCTACCACTTTCTTTCCCCGTCACTGCAGGATTCCTTTGGGAATAAGAATTTGAATTAATTTGTGCAGAGAAAATTGAATCTAAACTTCCCAGTCCACATAAATGCTCTAACTGCAGGATATTACAAAAACAGGCATACCCACTCCTATTCTACCTGTGTTTTGAATTGAAGTGGTGGTTCTCAATGTCTCTGTGAGGTGTATCCCCAAACACTCACAACAAACTCCCCCAAGATCAGAAGTTGCGAATTTTGGGGGTCCTGATTAGGCTCAGGCAGGAGCTACATGAGAAAACCCCTTCTTGTCACATGCAGAAACCTAACTTTGGAAATTAGAGGTTTTGCAGTGAAAATTTGGGAACCTACACACTTGCTGCTTTATGGGTTTACACAGGAATGTTCAGGAGTTTAGTGACTAAATTCTGTTTCACATCCATTTTTAGATTACCATGTCTTTTTGAAGACTTGGGCTTTGATTTGAAAGTGGAAACAGTTATAGAAGATGCGGAGAACACAAGAAGATGTGAACAACTCTGTGCCTGGGAAGATCATGGAACAGATCTTCCTGGAAGCTACGCTAAGGCACATGGAGGATGTTTTGAGACAGCCAGCATGGCTTCACCAAGAGCAAGTCTTGGCTGACCAACCTAGTGGCCTTCTATGATGGAGTGACTACATCAGTGGGCCAGGGGAGAGCTATCTGGACCTCTGTAAGGCCTTTGA